CTCATCCAATCCTCTCAGGGGGTGGCGTCATCTTCATTTTACAAGTGAAAAAACGTGACCGGTGCCCAGATTTCACCAACAGGTGGTGTTGCTGGGTTTCCCCACTCCAAACCCAGGCAGTCCTGCTGGGATCCTCTGCGATGCGAGGCCAAATTATTGTTCCCAACGGCGTCTGTCTCTCTCAGGCCTTGCTGTTGTCTCTATCTCTACATTGTGGTCCATGAGCTGTCAATCAAACTATCTTGTCCCACCAAGCACTGCTGGTCCAGGAGCTGTCAATCAAACAATCTTGTCCCATCAAGCACTGCTGGTCCATGAGCTGTCAATCAAACCATCTTGTCCAAAAAGAACTGCTGGTCCACGAGTTGTCAATCAAACTATCTTGTCCGCCAAGCAATACTGGCCCATGAGCTGTCAATCAAATAATCTTATCTGCCAAGCACTGTTGGCCCATGAGCTGTCAATCAAACAATCTTGTCCTCCAAGCTTGATGAATCGGGGACAGAAATCCTGTTTCCAGGAGGCACATAGGGGGAGATGGACCCCCACAATCATGACTACGTTATAACGGTGTTTTCTGTTACTTCTCCTTTACCTGTCCCTCCTCCCTCAGACAGGAAGGGGAGCTCTGGAATACGACAGATTCACGTTCCTTCCCCCACCCCAACACTCTGCTCCCGCCTTCCCTCCCCCAGGGCTCCCAACCTTCCCTGGGGACCTTCATGGATTGCTCTGACCTCCCAGCAGCCCTCACGTGTCCCCCAGAGGACCCCCTTCGATCTGCAGGTCGCTGGGTTCGCTCCCACATCTGGGACCCGTCACACGCTCGCCTTAACCACGAGCACGTGCGGAGTCACCCCGCAGGACTGCAGGAGACGCGGCCCGGAACGTCATCCCTCCTCACAGCAGCCTCTGGAAGCAATTAAGAGAAGACAGTTCCCATCATGAAGACTTCGGCAAGATATTTATGATGTACAGACGACAGACACGCGCAAAAGGCCGAAGTGAGCACTTCTCTCTTCCTCTCCCTCTCCCTCTCTCTCTCTCTCTCTCCCTCTTTCCCTCTCCCTCTCCCTCTCCCTCTCTCTCTTCCTCTCTTTCTCTCTCTCTCCTCCCTCTCCCTCTCCCTCTCCCTCTCTCCCCCTCTCCCTTTCCCTCTCTCCCTCTCCCTCTCCCTCTCCCTCACCTCTCTTTCTCTCTCTCTCTCTCTCTCTCTCTCTCTCTCTCTCTCTCTCTCTCTCTCCCTCTCTCTCCTTCTCTCCCTCTCTCTCTTCCTCTCTCAAGGGCAAAGGAAGAGGACTATTTCTTTAGAAGATTCCTGAATTAATGATACGCCATCAATACAAACGCATGGTATGCCCACGAATCAACGAGGGGTCTTTCTCCCAAAGTCTAGTTTAGAATCGGGCGTTGTCTCTGGGAGAAACGTCTCCCGTGGATGTTTTGATGCCACGTGTGTGGACAGATAAAGATTTTTATAAAAGGGAGGAGGGCCTGGGCCACAGTTTCCCGAGCTGGGTCACCGAACACCTCCAGCTATTTTTCCGAAGCTCTGGGATGGGCAAAAGCCGGAACTGCCTTGGCCAAGCATTTTTCCCCTTAATTTGAAAAGCCGTGCGCATTAAAGGGAATGTCATCCGTATGTTTCTGATTCATTTACACTTAATGCATCAGAACATTCTCTTGTCAGAGGCGTTGGGCCCTCAACCAGGCTTGGAAGCCCTCACAGCAGCACACAAGCATGCACTCACACACGTGGGTGCACAAGAGTTACCCAGACATGTGTTTTCAGTTGCTTAGAATTAAGAGTCACTATGACTTGGCCGGCATAGCACAGCCGTTGAGCATCGACCTATGAATCAGGAGATCACGGTTCGATGCCCGGTCAGCAGGCTCCATCCCCAGTGTGGGGCGTGCAAGAGGCAGCCAATCAATGATTCTCTCTCATCATTGATGTTTTTATCTCTCCCTCTCCGTTCCTCTCTGAAATCAATAAAATATATATCCTACAGATGATAAAAGGTAATATGCAAATCGACCGAAGGGCGGAACTACCAGTTGGTCAACCACTGAGCCACCCCGGCCGGGCTGCACTCAGAGCTGTTCCCCACAGGGCTCTCTGAGCTGAAATGAAGGCTTCACGGTCAGGTCCGAGAGGCACCCTCCCCGGAGGCAGGCGGCTGGCCCGGGCTCACTCAGCCTCGCTGGTGCGAAGCCACGTCCTGGCCAGAGACAAAAGGGGGAGTCCCTCCCTGTCCCGGTCCCAGGAGGCTCATTTCCTGCCCAGCCCGGCCTGCGGCTCCAGGGCCAGGGCCCATCATGGCACACCCAGGGCGGATGTAAGCAGGGCCGGCCGGTGTCCTGGTGGCCTAATGAGTTTCTGGCCCCGACCCGGGCCCCTCCTGCCCATCACCACCCTCCCCCCTCCTGGTTCTCACACGTGGGGACACGCTGTGGTTCCATCTCATCGGCGTCTTCTTGGATCCCGCTGCTTCTGGAAGCTTCCCTGGAGCTGAGTGACTAGGATTTCTGACTCAGGGATGGGTGTGGGAGGCCCCTCGGGGACATTCTTAGACATCCCGAGGATTTCGTTTTTCCAGAACGAGGAGCTACAAGAGGAACAGTGTCCTAGGACTCCGTGGCGGGCAAACTGTGGCTCGCGAGCCACAGGCGGCTCTTGGGCCCCTGGAGGGCGGCTCTTCCACAAAACACCACGGCCTGGGCGAGTCTGTGTGGAAGACGTGGCGCTCACAGACGTTTAAGTTTGAAAAGTGTGGCTCTCCAGAGACATGTCCTTCTGCCTGCTAAGCTGTGCTGGTGACTGCGGCCTCACTAGGAAGTACAGGATTTAGGAGAGAAATCTGAATCGATTAACTTTTGTTACAAGAACTTGGGCAACTGAGCAAGTCGTTTACCCGATTTCTTCAGCGTTCCACAGCGTTATTATTATTTTTTTAAAATATATTTTATTGATTTTGTACAGAGCGGAGGGGAGAGAGATAGAGAGTTAGAAACATCGATGAGAGTGAGTCATCGATCAGCTGCCTCCTGCACACCCCCAACTGGGGCTATGCCTGCAACCAAGGTCCATGCCCTTGACCAGAATCGAACCCGGGACCTTTCAGTCCCCAAGCCGATGCTCTATCCATTGAGCCAAACCGGTTTCGGCCATAGCGTTATTTTTCAAGGTGGCTGAGAGGACAGGGATGTTGGAAGCCTTGAGCATGGTTAGCACCTGGCACCCAATTTCCTGTAAAACCATTATCATCGAGGTCATTACTAAGAAACATGCACATTCGCCGTGCTCTGTCCCCCTTTTCCTTGCGACGTGACTGCCCGGAACCCATGTCTCTGAGTCCCTATCGCTCAAGGTGGGACAAACATCTGAGTGATGTTCCTGATCTCCCCCAGTCACACTGCCCCCACCAGCCAGGGCTCTCTGCTCCCCTTACAGCCAAGGTGGCCAGATGTACTTCAGCTGCCTGGCCGCTAGGTGTCACACTTGTTAAATAGTTAGAAACGGACTCGGTTTTTTTCCATCCCGAGGACTCAGAAATCACATGGATTTGTTCTCCTTTTAAATGAGGGCATTTCTTGGGTCACATGATCTCACGCACTTAGGGGAAATAATGAACAACATAAACTGATGAACAAAAACAGACCCGGAGACAGAGAAGCAGCGATCAGACTCTCAAACCTCAGAGGAAAGGCAGGGGAGGGTGGGGGGTAAGGGGAAGAGATCAACCCAAGGACTTGTGTGCAACATAGGAGCCTAACCAGTGGCCACGGACAACAGGGGGGTGGGGGCGTGCGTGGGGAGGGGTTTGGGATGGGAATGGGGAGGCGGTGAGGATAATTATGTGAGACCATAACCAATAAAGAAATTTAAAAAAATAAAGTTTTCAGTGACTTTGATACTTCTCTCAGGAGGGTCACATTGCTACTGGGGTAGAATGTTCCTATATGTAGATGAATATTATGTGAGTTTGTGCCAGTATCAGTGGTTTCATTCAAAGATAAAAAGTGACGGGCAACCATTTATTTTATTTTTAATTTTCTTAAAATTTTTATTTATTTATTTAATCCTCATCTGAGGATATTTTTCCATTGATTTTTTTTTTTTTTTTTTGAGAGTGAAAGAGAAGGGGAGAGACAGAGAAACATCGATTGGTTGCCTCTCGCCTGGGCTGGGAATCGAACCGGGGATCCTTCCGTCCCCCAGGCCGATGCCCAATCCACTGAGCCACACCAGCTCCTCCCCTCTCCGAGCGTTCTTTCTTCTCTCGGCTGTCACGAGAATTCAAGAGTTACAAAAGCCACGACATTCTGCCTCTTTTAATGAAAGATAAAACAACGATATAAACATACACAAATTTACAGGGAAGAAGGAATCCGCTGGAACCCACGGTGGAGGGTGCGTGGAGAGGTGCTTCGTATTTAAATATGGTATAAAAATAAACGCAGGGAAGGGGGCCGCGCACGGTCGGACGACAGACGGACGTGGGTGCTTGTTTCTGCGATGACATCGGTGCAAGGAGCCTTCCTGGGCAAAAGGGGTCATCACGTAAACTCTGTGTGAGGCTGTCGGCGCCACTGACTGTTCTTCTTCGACAGTTCTTCCAGTTCAGTGACGGATTCCGTTTCCGGGGAACTGCGTGTCCAGCGGAAGCGTCGAGGGAAAGAAAAAGAAAAAGGGGAGGGGGGTGAGGGGAAGGAAAAGGCGCACGTCACTTGAACTTGATAAAAAAAGGAAAAGACACCGAGCCAGCTTAGGACATGGAGGAAGGAAGGAGGCCGACCGCCTTCACAGAGGACGGGAAGGCGTGGCGATGGCGGAGTCCCGTGGAGATGGCGCTCGAAGGAAGCACAAAGACGCGGGTCCTCTGCTCATGCAACATTTCGGCCCAAGGTCCTCGGCTCCAGGTCACAACGACGAGAGAGAGCTACAAAGTGTAGGCGGCGACTCAGTCTGCATGTCCATGCGACAGGGTGGTGTCCCTTCAGCTGGACTGGACGAGGCTCGTTAACCTCTTGGACGTGAGGGACTTCCCCTGGGGAGAAAAGAGAGACGGGACAACACGGTGCGATCACTGAGAACCCGATTGCAGGTGAACGCCGATCCCTCGAGGCCCGCTTTTGGGCGAACACGGAACCCTCTGGGTACGTCTTACGTTCAGACGCCATGACCAGCGTCCCCTCCCAGCAACACATGGGACACAATGACCCTCCTCCCTCCCTCCCACCCGCCTCCTCCCCGTTGCAAACAGACGGATGGGTTCATAGCACAGAGAGGAGCAACTCAGAAAACATGTCCATCCACGTCCCATCCAGGCTGAGCGATGGTGCGACACCCAGGGGAGAGCCACTGATGATCAGCACGGTACAATGAGACCCGGTAAGCTGGCTCCCCCCCACCCCCCCGAGAGAGTGCGACCCCCGTGCATGCATTCTTGCTCGGCTGCTGGAGTTAGTGCAGCATCGATCCGTATCGAGACGGGCACAGAGGGTGAGTTAATTACGTAAGATGTGCTTTTTTTGATGGCGTGATGGGTGGGACGCTCAAGATTCAGCCTGTCCCTCATCCTCTAGAGCAGTGGTCGGCAAACTCATGAGCCCACAGAGCCAAATATCAACAGTGCGACGATTGAAATGTTTTTGGAGAGCCACGTTTCTTAAACTCAAACTCTATAGGCAGGTGCATTGTTATTAACTTAATCAGGGGACTCTTAAGCTGGCCCTTGCTAAAAACTCAGGGGGCCAAAGAGCCACAAGTGGCTCTCGAGATGCAGTTTGCCAACCACTGCTCTAGAGTAATGGAGAGAAAGGTGCCAATTATGCATCTTAAGGAAAGGATCCCTCTGTTCCTTACTTCAAACTTGAGGCGCCTCCCTGTCTTTCCCTACCTCATTTCCTCCAACCCCAACCCCAACCCCAACCCCAAGGAAAATCCCTTATATGGTGATTCCACATACTGTGTGAAGGCCTAGAATACATCTTCATTTTCGGGGGGCACTCTTGCAAGCTAACGGCCCCCCGTTAATTACAAGCACTCTGGAGCGTCTGAAAGTCGTAAGAAAAAGTGTGTTCAGACACGAATCCACAGAGGAAGGAGAGAGAAGCTACATTTGCTTGGTTTGTTACTGCTGTAAAAATACACAGCAGTCTTTCCCAACCTACAGGCGGTCAAACAGACCCCGGAGGAGGAAAAAAAAGGGTGTGTGTGTGTGTTTTCATTTATTTATTTTTCTAAATATATTTTTATTGATTTCAGGGAGGAAGGGAGAGGGAGAGAGGGATAGAAACATCGATGAGAGAAAATCATGGATTGGCTGTCTCCCGCACATCCCCCCACTGGGGATGGAGTCTAAAATCCAGGCATGTGCCCTAACCAGGAATCAAACTTTGAACTCCTGGTTCATAGGTCGATGCTCAACCACTAAGCCATGCCAGCCTGGTGTGGAATAAGTAACTTTTCCTGGGAGGAAAAGAGGCATGATAGGGTGAGGGATGGGGGTGACACTGGTCACACCCTAAATTAACTAACTAGAGGCCTGGTGCATGAATTCATGCATGGGTGGGGAAACCTCACCCTGGCCAAGAGAGTAGGTCCATTAGAGAAAATGAGAAAAGCATAGAAAAATATTACAAGAAATAAACATTATATGAAATACAGCTATTTATATACTAATATCTCACCTACTTTTTATAGAAACTATGGTTTGTTAAAAACTGGCATTACACTATGCATAATATGATGACTTATTATGAGTAACATGTACATATATTTTGATCAATTAGCCATGCTATCCATGTTTCTTCTCATACAATGTTTTGTTCACATTCATTGCATAGTGTGGGTAAGAAAATCAATGTAGAAAGATGCTAACAACATTCAGAAAATAACTGAATATTATAGATCAGAATATCTCAGACTGCGTTGCACATAACAAGGATAATTTTAGTTCTAAACACATATAGTTTATATGTTATAGAATTTAGTTCTATGCAGTACCAATTACGTAGCAGCGCACACAAACACGTGTGCATTACTATGTCAAATGTGGGTGGCAAAAAGTAAAGATGAAAGCCACTACTCTAAAAATCTAATTTTTAATCGCTGCATAATATTCTACCAGGGAGAGATGCCCGGATGCATTTAGGAAATTCACAATAGTACATTCAGACTGTGTCTTACGTTTGACCTTTATAGGATGCAACTGACTCTTGCATGAGTGTGGACACCTGGGTTTCTTAAAATATTTTATAAGTTGAATTACTGATTGAAAGCGAGAGGTTTTGGAAGGTTTGTGCATTCTGTAAAGTTTCATTTGAGAAAAGCGATTAGCAATGACCCACGTGGCAATTTCAGAACGGATGGTGCTACGGGGGGCAGCGGTTCTCAACCTTCCTAATGCCGCCAGAAAACACAGATGTTCACATTTCGATTCATTCACAGGAGCAAAATTAGTGATGAAGTAGCAACGGAAATAATGTTATGGTTGGGGGTCACCATGACATGAGGAGCTGGATTAAAGGGCTGTGGCAAGAGAAAGGTTGAGAACCACTGGACCAAGGGGAAATGCAGATCTACTGTCCGACCTACACAGGCTACACAGTCTGGTACATCTCCGAGCAATTGCACCTAAAATTGCTTTCTCAGGCAAGTTATCACCACGAGCCACTTCTGTTTCAATAAAATAATACGGGTAACCGTATCTGTCAACAACAAAATGATAAATGGGATGGTTCCCGGTCCCTAAGAGAAGGAGGAGAAAAGACTCAGAATCAGGGATGGTGTTGGAGGAAAGATATCTATTTGGCTTCCCCTTCCCATCTCCCTTAAGTTGCGTATTATGTTTAATTCCATTCCATTCCATTCTCGTCTTATGGATAATGTTCTGTCGGCATTCTATTCTGAAAGGATGAACTGCAGACAATTCTTACGCAATATACGGAGCACGGTGCCATCTTCTCCGCCAGCATCGTGAGGTGTCTCTTTCCCCTTCCCTTGACATGTTACGTGAAAGGTCAGAGATGGCAACAGATCCCACCAAAAATGGTGGCAAGTTTCTTAATGTGGCTCATTCCCGGGGCCCGGCGTGTCCCAGCCCTTGACTTTGTACAACCCCATCGAATGCTCCCAGCACACACTGCTTTTGACTATCTTTCCCAGTCTCTGCACACGGTCACAACATGCAATTTGTAAACACAGCGGACTGACATTCCCCACCGAAAAGATCTGGGAGAAAACCAGAAGCAAAAACCACATCTCCGTTGAATCCAATTGGCTGACATTTCAACACACACACACACACACACAACTCCACTGAACTGGCCATCACAGTAGAAGCCACAATACACACACACACACACACACACACACACACACACACACACACACACGTACACACAGCAGCAGCAGCAGCATGGAGCTAACCACACAACTCCACAGACAATGCGGACGGACTGGAGTAGAAACCAAGAGAGTTCTACCTCTTTTCACAACAGGTTAGTGCTGGCCCTCAGTGTTGGAGTACAGTTTTTATGGCATGGGAAAATGGGGAGATTCCTGCCCTACAAAGATAAATGTGTTCAAGGCTTTAGTTTGAGCTCGCGCGAGGTCGGCACGTTCCAAAGGCACTGGGCACAACACAAAGAAAAAAGGAGGAGAACCCGCCCCCCCACACACACACACCAAAACACAGGGCTAGAGGCTGAGGAAACAGTGGCATAAACACAACTGGCCTCCTGCATGATGTAAGCAACAACTGTCAACAGCTTTCTTGGAAAAGGAAGGAGGAGAGAGGCCTGGTGGCCGGCCAAGGAGGGGCGATAGCGTGTCACCGGCCACCGTTCCTACCCTGTCAACTGCTTTCTAGGCCATTTTCTCCCTACAGACATAGAAAGAACAATCAAGATTGTTCTTAATCTTTTCAGCATTACCAAAAGCCAAGGGCATGATCGTAGAAACACATGCACTCTCTTTCTTAAAGAAAGGGGTAGCGTGGGCAAAAAGAAAAAAATGTAAGCAAACAACGATTGCTTCATTTGACGTATTATAACATAGGCTTCTTTGCAAACCTTCCTTGGACTGATACATGGAGATGGTCCTAGGAGACATCTTTATCTATCTACCCTGGGAAGGGCTGAGACCCAAGGGGAAGGAGAAACCAAGTTCTGGATCTGAATCAAGGCAGTACCGAGGCTGTTCCATCCAAGTGGGAGATGGGTGAGAAACGGGGTCACAGCTTCATTGGACGTAGGGAAGGGTCGTTCCTCACCAAAGGAGACTTACCACATTCTGCGCAAATTTCTCAAAAGATGTTCTGCGGTCCATGGAGGGTTCCGACTTACTCGTGCGGGGGGGGGGGGGGCAAGGCAAAGGGAAACAGGGAATGTGAAAGAAAAAAAAAAGAAAGAAAACGGAGCAGAAAGAGACAGGAGATGAAATGATAAAACATCAAATCATGACCTAAACCGCAGGGACCGGGAGGGGCCAGAGCTGCCAAGCAAGGCCTCCTTTGATTAACGACTTTATTTTTATTTTCTCATTATTTGTTAAACTATTTTTATTGATATCAGAGAAAAAGGGAGAGGGAGAGAGAAAGAGAGAGAAACATCCATGAGGAGAGAGAATCATGGATCGGTGGCCTCCTCCTGCACGCCCCACACTGGGGATCGAGCCTGCAACCTGGGCATGTGCCATGACCGGGAATCCAACTGTGACCTCTTGATTCATGGGTTGATGCTCAACCACTGAGCCAGGCTGGCCGGGCAATGATTTTATTTTAAACATCAAAACTCCTCTTGTGCAAACAAAATGGTGGGATTTTGAGTAAAATTCAACTGCACTGAAATGAAGACGATACACTGACCAGGGGATGTGTGTATGCTGATGTTTGCAAAGTCTACATATTTGAAAATCTAGGGGTATTCCTAAAAACTTTCTATCGGGACCAGATTGCTGAAGAGAACTATTCATTTTATAAAGCATTGTTATCCGGTAGAAATGTCTGAAGTTCATTCTACGCTGTCCAGTATTTCAGAAGCCTTTATCTGTGATCACGGAGTACTTCACATTCGGCTAGAATTCTGTGTAATCTCAATGGACTTCCATTTAAGCTTAAACATGCCTACGTAGCCAGTGGCTGCTGTATTGGATGATCTGTCTACAGAGGACTTTGAAAAAATTCCATCAGCCTAACGGATGATCCTGAAGTATGAAAAATGACAGTTGTGTCTCAGAAATTAAAGAAGATGTGAACTCTTTTAATACTAAGAAACAACGAGTGAAGATGTTTATGTCCAGAGAGTCCATATCATGTTACATGGATGAGACAGGGTACTCTTGACAGGAAGACTTTGAAGATAAACATTCATTGAATGAGGTATATTGAAATTCTTCCTTATGTGGGTGGGTACTATCGTAGGTGCATAAAATTCATTGTGGGGATGCTGAATGGTTCAGACTAAATATCAAATAAAAAAATATTCAGGAGACAACATCCCTACATTTTGACAGCTACCGCTGAGAAAAACAATGAGTAGTTTTAGTTATGGGGTATGTGGCTAAAAACATATATTCTAGTTTACTGTGAACAAAGAAAACTTGCTTACTGAAATCATTCTTTTCCTTTCTTTATTGCAATTTTTAAAAATATATTTGATTTCAGAGAGAAAGGGAGAGGGAGAGAGAAACATCAATGAGAGAGAATCACTGATAGGCTGCCTCCTGCATGCCCCCTACTGGGGATCGACAACCTGGCATGTGCCCTGACCGGGAATTGAACCATGACCTCCTGGTTCATAGGTTGATGCTCAATCACTGAGCAACAACGGCCGGGCTATTGCAATTTTTTATTTCCTTGAACTAGGCATATAAAAGACTAACATGAACCATGAAAAACAGCTTCAAAAAAAAAAATAAACTTTGTAAAGCAAGAACAACTACAGAAACAAAACAAAACAAAAAAAGAAAATAAGCAATCAACAAACAGAAGCCGAGAGAACTTAAATGGCTCTTATGAAAGGCAGAGGTTTGGGGAGGGTCTCGGGGTGTGTTCACTTACCCTCTGTCCACTTCCCCCGGGCCCCACGAAGGTCACTAGTCCAACGAATTACAACCGAGAACCCGATTTTAAGAGGTCGCAAAGAACCGGTACCTTTTTCTTCGCCTGTAGAAGCTCCTGGTAGGCACTGGATCGTATAAAACGTGGGTATGAATCGCTTTTCATCAGTTTGTAAATGTGCTCCTGGAAAGAAATAACGGTCAGGGCGCGGCTTCGTCACTTCTCAGGGGAAACCTAGCGCCATGATCAGAGGACAACAGATTGTCGGAAAACCCATCCGGAAGCAGCTAGAAACAAAGCAGGACTCTGCTGCTGAGAATACCTTCTGTTGACAGAACAAGCAGACCCTCAAGTTCATTATGCTGTTCATCAATCCATTTTAAAACTGGTTGAGGGGCTACGCGGAATGTAAATCACACACAGCCCTTTTTTTTTTTTTTAAGAAAAAAAAATATGGAGTTTCGTTAACAGAATGTCCTAAAGTGATACTAAATCAAGTTGTTGGTTTCCATGGATTATTGGGGAATTTAAATCAACCTGCTGGCGCTTCAAACTATTATACTCCAGGTTGAGATGTAGCGTTTTGAACCCTTTGGGTGTGTCTGAATGGACCAATCTCTTCTTACTTGGAGAAAATATGTAATTTAAAAAATATATATATATTTTTTTGATTTTTTACAGAAGGAAGGGAAAGGGATAGTTAGAAACATCCATCAGCTGCCTCCTGCATCCCTCCCTCCCCCCTGCCTCCATTGGGGATGTGCCCAAAACCAAGGTACATGCCCTTGACCAGAATGGAACTTGTACCTTGGTTGCGGGCACATCCCCAGTGGGGGGTGTTCAGGGGGCAGCTGATGGATGTTTCTAACTTTCTATCCTTTTCCCTTCCTCTCTGTAAGAAAAAAAATCAATAAAATATATAATATATATATATTTAAAAATTATATATTTTCTCTAAATAAGAAGAGATTGGGACATCCAGATACTCTCAAAGGCAGCTGATGGATGCTTCTCTCTCATCAATGTTTCTAACTCTTCCTCCCTCTCCCTTCCTCTCTGCAAAAAAAATCAATAAAATACATTAAAACAAAACCAGAAACAAATGTTCCCATAAAACCACACACATTGACAGAACACTCCCAGGCTTTTCAATACAGCTCACTCTCAAGGGCCTCCGTTCCCTCCTGGATCAATGGGAGTATGTGACACACAGTAACCTACGCCAGAGGGTTAGACACGGCTGCCAATGACAAGAAAAACAAAACACAAGTACCTGCACCCCTCTGCTCTGTGGGAGCATGCGTAGGACACACCCCGAGGCCCTCATGCACCCACCTGAGCGTCCTCGAACGTGTACCGCCCGGGCTCCTTCACGTTCTGCGTGGTCTTGTCGTAGCTCTTCGAGTCCAGGTTGATGGCGCTGGGGGCTCCCGGAGCCAGGAACTCCTGCCATATCTCCTGGACCCGCGAGGGGACTTCCCTAATGGGCCTCTTCTTCAAGTCCTCCACTGCCAGCCAGAACCTGCAGGGGGCGCGACACCGAGCGTTCAAATAGGTGGGGGTGATGTGTACAACAGAGGGGCGGGACGTGGGTCCCTCTCTCACCAGCAGCTTAGTGGGGCTCGGCTTTCAATGTGCAAAGAAAACAGTTGCCCCCACAGTTTCATCTCAAGCTATCCCCCCATCCCTTTGGGTTGATTTTTTTAAATTGACTTCAGAGAGGAAGGGGGAGAGGGAGAAGGAGAGGAAGAGGGAGAGAGAGATGAGGGAAAGGGTGAAGGAGAGGAAGAGAGAGAGGAAGGAGAGGGAGAGGGAGAGGGGGAGAGGGAAAAGGAGGGAGAGGGAGCGTGAGAGTGAGAGAAACATCAATGATGAGAGAGAATCACTGATCGGCTGCCTCCTGCACGCCCCCGAGGGGGGATGATGCCCGCAATCTGGGCACATGCCCTTGACCTGAATCAAACCCGGGACCCTTCAATCTGCAGGCCTACGCCCTATCCACTGAGCCAAACTGGCTAGGGCTCAAGTTATTTGACACAAATACCCGATCTCTTTTTTGTAGTCCTTCTTTGAGAATCCATAGGCCAGGAAGACCGCTATTCATAAATAGTCGACATTTTCATTTCACTACAGAAATACTATTGGCCATTTTCCGCTTTGCCAAATGCTTCTTTAAGGAGTCCATTTCAAATGCACAACATGTATACCGAAAAAAGACAGGGTAAAAATATGCCACCATGAGGGACTGGTCACGTTGGACAGACTTTGCCTTATTTTATCTTTTTTTTTCTTTTTTTTCTTTTTCTTCTTCCTCCATCAAGTGGCAGGAATTCCGTGGGCTCCAGTCATGCCCATGATGGTGGTGGGAGAGTCGCTGATTCGTTTCATCCTATACAACCGGGCCCGGTACAGGTGGTACCTCTGGCTTACGGCATACTGTCGGAAAACCGCGTCTTACCTTAAGTTTTCGGAGCTGAATTCTGACTCTAGAAACTTAAGAAACTGCTCCCTCCCCACGGGGTCTTTCAACGCTTCATCCATGCCGAACCCCCACCGTTTGACCCTCTGCTGGCTCGGTTCTTTGCTGGAGGAGACAAAAACCAAACCCAACACATTCCTCTCAGTACCAGGCCTGTTTTCTGCCATCACACGTTTCCTCTCAGAATTATAGATGTCTTGACATTCCCGTCTTTAACTGAACTTTTCGGGGGAGGGACAAAATATCTTAGGACAATGACTCTGAATGAAATGGCCGGGAGGTAGACGCCCTAGGCATCCATGATGAAATCTGGGATCCGTGCGAGAAACCAGGGAGTCCTAAGTGGTGCTTTGGCTTTCTGAAGAGTCCTTCTCGTGCCCATTTCTCTTAGAGTAAGGTCCTTTTGTTTTAAAATTGAATGTATACAGGCATCTACACTAATAAAAGAGAAAGATGCAAATTGACCGTACCTTTGTGACGACCACCAGCCAATCAGGAGTGAGCATGCAAATTAACCCAACAAAGACGGTGGGTTAAATTGCATACACAGGCACCAAGCAGATGGGGATGGGGTCTCTGGGCAGCATGGGAAGGTGGGAAGGCGGCTGTGGGCTGTAGCAAAGGTGGTGCTGGCAGCCAGGGGAAGGAAGGCCCATTTTTGCACAAATCTACGTGCATCGGGCCTCTAGTATAATTATACTGGGCTTACGTAAGTATGGATTTAGCATTCATTTTTACTTGAACACATGGGCCTTTGTGACTACGTGGTTTTTTTCAGGTAGCTAAGACAATGAGCTAAAGAACTGAAGATCCCAATTCTGACTGGTCTACCTCTATTCTGCCCTCGTCTTCTGGAAATGCAAGTTCAAATATCTAAGGTTCAAAACCAGTACCTTTATAATAAGAGCTGTATACCATGGGCTAATGGAGACACAGAGTAAAATTACGGTGACCACTACCAGCTATAGGATTCTTCCTGTTGAACCCAAACCCCGAAATAAGTGAAGTATTTCGAGGGAAGAGAAAATGGCACTTACCTTGCTTCAAGTTCCCAGAAAGTGGTATCATCGGACAGCCACGGGTTGGAAGGGTCGGGTGGCACAAAAAATGGGTCGTAGTCTAAATACTGCTCCGTGTAACTCAGCAGACTGGAGGGAAGAGACACATTCACCTCCCTTAGCTGCTGTCTGGCTGAGGCTGTAGCCAGCCCAGAGTTAGGGACACTATGAAAATGTGTGGCCAAGGGATGCTTGCTGCTTTCCAGCGTGGACCCCGATGGCCGTTTTGCCATTTCTATAAACTTACACACACTCCCTGACAGTGCTTCTTGGAGGACCAATGGGGCCCAGGATTCCATCCCTCCCCATACCTACGCCCTGGGAGTCAGTAACCCTTTATTACAATAAACTAAACTCAAGAGGTCAGAGCGTGAGGGCCAGGGCTAAGCTCAGCTCCGATCCCTGGTAGACCAGTCCGCCTGCAGCCAACTGATGTTAGCCAACGTGGAAAAGAGGTTAAAAATAATTCTTGCCAAAACCGGTGTGGCTCAGTGGATAGAGCATCGGTCTGCGGACTGAAAGGTCCCAGGTTCGATTCCGGTCAAGGGCATGTACCTTGGTTGCGGGCACATCCCCAGTAGGGGGTGTGCAGGAGGCAGCTGATCGATGATTCTCTCTCATTGATGTTCCTAACTCTCTCTCTCCCTTACCCTTCCTCTCTGTAAAAAAAATCAATAAAATACATTTTTTTTAAAAAGAGAGAAAAAGTAATTCTTTTTCTAAAGTATTTATAGGAATTAGGTAAAAGAGGAGTGACTTGCTGAGCAAAAACTTTTTAAAATCCGTGTTTAAAAATAAAGATAAGGAGAGGAAAAAAGTTGAAGAGGTAGCATCTGACAATGCCTCAAAGTTCAGGACATGGATGCTCTTAAGACCAGATTTAAATAAAGAAATGGGAAAAATGAAGGATCCGAGGTTAATCCCAGTGTCGGAGTTCTGCGGTAACTCAGAGTGAAGTGAAAGAAAAGCCAACTTTGGAAGCTGAAAGGTTTATTTCTCCCAGCGGGAGGGAGAAGGGTCAGGGCCTTGGAATTATCTTCTGTGTCTGACTCTGGTTGCACCAGGATTGGACCTCCTGATATGATAAGACAATAGGATCATTCTGTAATTAATTTAAATTGCAACAAGACAGCCCCGCTGGTGTGGCTCAGTGGTTGAGTATCAACCTAGGAACCAGGAGGTCACAGTTCGATTCCCGGTCAGGGCACAGGCCCGGGTTGCGGGCTCTGCCCCCAGTAGGGGGTGTGCAGGGGGCAGCCGATCCAGGATTCTCTCGCATCATGGATGTTTCTCTCTCCCTCTCCCTTCCTCTCTGATATCCATAAAAATATTTAAAAATAAATGAGGAAAAACAAAATAACATTCATTACAGGGTCCCAATCACTTATCTCAGCTCCTTGTCCAACAGTTATTGTAGCATTTTTATCAGATTTCTCTGTCAGTTAAAAAGTGTAAGTGCATATGGACATCTCCAAATACTCACCTATCAGCGACTTTTGACATTTTTAATCGATGTCTGTCTAACTGTATTTGCCAATAGTTTATCTGAAAACAGAGTTAAAGAAATAATTATATAAGCAGTGAGATTCTCACAATTTTCAGCTCTAATTGCTGATAAGCTGGGAGATTCCAAACAAGAATGTATTCACATCAGTAAAAATCCAAAGTCTGTTGTTTAAAAAATCAAATGATGCCTAGCTGGTCTGGCTCAGTGGATAGTGGATCAGCCTGCAGACTGAAGGGTCCCAGGTTTGATTCTGGTCAAGGGCACATGCCCAGATTGCTGGCTTGATCCCCACCCAGTAGGCGGTGTGCAGGAGGCAGCTGATCCATGATTCTCTCTCATCATGGATGTTTCTCTTTCTCTCTCCTTCTCCCTTCCTCTCCCCGAAATCAATAAAAACATAAAATTTTTATCTGAATTACTATTTCCTTCATGAGGATTGTAAATATACTAGACAAATGTATTATATTATTTATAAATCATATTACAATAAAGATATGAAAAAATAAATAAATAAAGGATAAAGCCCCAGGGCTGAATTAACCAAGAGGTTAGTTATTATTTGACAGGAGACAGTGGTGATTACTTTGCGATATTACTCGGAGACAAAGCTATTGATCAATTGGTAAAGCAAGATGTGATATATACCATGACCTCACACCAGCGTTGATAAGGGAAAACATCAAGAGGCGTATAGCTATAAAGACCAGACTGTAGACACAAGAATAAAACACCCATTTGAGGAAATCATGTCACATGACTGGACATGGGAAAGCCATGGCAACCTCTTGTCTTCTCGTTCTGTAAGACCCAGTGATGGAACCCACAATAAATTAGTGCGTGTGGCTTTAAAAAAAAATTGGGTACAGCCGAGGCCAGTTTGGCTCAGTGGATAGAGCATCGGCTTGGGGACTGAAGGGTCCCGGGTTCGATTCCGGTCAAGGGCATGTACCTTGGTTGTGGGCACATCCCCAGTGGGGGGGTGTGCAAGAGGCAGCTGATCGATGACTCTCTCTCATCGATGTTTCTAACTTGCTATCTCTCTCCCTTCCTCTCTGTACAAAATCAATAAAATATATTAAAAAAAAATTGGGTACAGAATAAAGGACTTGGGGAGTTACATACTGAGGCGTTCTGACTACGGCTCTCACAGTGAGACAATTTCATTACCTATTTAACTGAAAAATCTTCTCAACGAAACAGTCAACCCTACACGTAAGCGTTTACAACACCTGCTATGAACCATTCACTGTCCGGTCCTCACAGCGGTCACTCTGCACGCCGTGAACGGGCCATTCTACAGGTGTGACCCACCTGCTCCTGTAGCTCATCTTCTGTGGGAGGTTTCGTTTCTGGTGTGGGTGTGTGGGTGGGACTGTGACTTCGAATATCATTCTGTAAACCATAGACAGACTATAGGAAATAAAAACAAACAAAAGAAATGGGTTAGGCCGGTGGTCGGCAAACGCACGAGTCCACAGAGCCAAATGTCAACAGCACGACGATGGACATGTCTCTGGAGAGCCACATGTTTTACACGTAAACTTCTAACGCCACGTCTTCCACACAGACTCAGGATGGGGTCCTACCTTGCGGGTTTTGTGCGGGTTTCGCATCCGGGACGACTTTTTGATGTCCACCTCCGTGGTGTTGACACAGCCAGGCTGCGGGTGGGGTCGGAGAGAAGGAGGAACCTTGAACCTTTGATCTGGGGTGAATGGCTTGCTTTTCCCCGACCCCAAAAAAGACCCCGATGGCCGGCCACTCTTCCTAAAAGACTATCGGCTGTGTCGGTGACAACATCAGTTAGGTATATATACATATTTAAAAATACACATATTTTTATTGATTTCAGAAAAGAAGGGAGAGGGAGAAAGAGAGAGAGAGAAACATCAATGAGGAGAGAGAATCATGGATCAGCTGCCTCCTGCATGCTCACTATTGGGGATCGAGCCTGCAAACTGGGCCTGTACCCTGACCGGGAATCGAACCGGTGACCTCTTGGTTCTTGAGTCAATGCTCAGCTGTTGAGCCAAACCTGGCCGAGCAAAAACAAGGCAATTACCTTTTTGAAGCATATATAGTATGCACCAAATCAGGTGAGATGTTATACATATGCCGGTGTCCGACACGGCTGAGCATATCTTCCCAGGAAGATACCTATAGCATTTCCATGACCAAGGAGGCACTTAATAAAAATGTCCCCATACGGACTATTTGCCAGATAGAATATTAAGTGCGTAATATGGGATGTAAGGAATCACAGGTGGCATTTACACTGGCCTCGGAAAGAATCGTAAGTTATTCCTAGCGGCTTAAAGCACGTTTATCTTCCACAGAATTAAGCTGTGCGGTGGCATTACTTTAATACTACTTATTAAAAGGCAGAATTGAGTGAATTCCCAGCGGAGCGAAATGTGCATGTTCCTGAGAAATGGTACTGCCGCCTCGTTCATGGAGATGTCTTAATGGGCTGTGAAACAGACGCGGGAATTTTTTTGGTTTTGTGGCTGATATTTTATTTAAGGGAATGCAAATACATGAATTCCTTTCCTGGCGTTAAGGCCTTTTTGCTCACTGCAGCAGGAGGCACACATTTTGAGAGACGTGGGCTAGCAAGACGCTTCAGACGAGCAGGGCTCTGAGTCAGTAATGGAGAACAAGTCTCCTTCAGATCAGTCTCTCCCACATTGGTGTTCCTCTCCCTCTCTCCCTCACCCTTCCTTCCTCCCACTCTCTCTCTCTCAAAAAAAAAAAAAAAAAAAAAAAAAGGATCCGGCCCATCTTCCAGTCCCGATCACCTAGACCTCAGCAGCGAGCTAACCTACCGGTTGGAGCATCCAACCCCCCGATGGTCAGTGCATGTCATAGCCACCAGTCGACCGGCCGAATGGTCGTTTAGGCTTTTATATATATAGATTCTGCATCACTGAACCCCGGTCACCTTACACAAAAGTGGCAACCTTTCCTTAACTCATTTGCCAAGACTTAGGGGCAATGACGGGGTCACAATAGTCTTCTCTCCCTTTCCCGGGGGGGCACCCCTCACGTTCTGAAAGGCGGAGGTGACAAACAGGCTCACCACGGGGCGGTGCACGTCCCAGAAGGCCCTCTCTTGGCTGTCGAGGATCTTCCTCTCGATCTTGTCTCTCTTCTTGTCCACTCTGTCAACAGCGGAACAAAGAGCCGTGAGGAGAGCTCACCGTGGCGCCGCCTCTCCGAGCCAAGGGGCCTCGGCCGGAACGGAGCTCCCGAGAGACTCACAAGGACTCACTTTGCCTGCGCCTCCGCCTGCATGAAGATGAACTCCCACTTCCGGGCGAAGGCTCTCTGCAGCCGGGCCAGGCTCTCCTGAAAGGCACGGCAGAGGTGGAGACGTCCCGCTGCTCCCCTCCCCTCTCCCCTCCTAGTTCACCCGCCACATGGGTCTGCCAAGAAGAGAAAGACAGCCCGGCCGGTGTGGCCCAGTGGTTGAGCATCGACCCAAGAACCAGGAGGTCATGGTTCCATTCCCGGTCAGGGCACATGCCTGGATTTCGGGTTTGATCCCCAGTAGGGGATCCCCTGAGAATCTGACCCTCAATACCCATGCAGGGGGAAGGCTGCCAGAGGCCCGGAATGACCATGAGCCTCACTCCTGCTCGTTTCAGGACTCCTGTGGGTAGGATGTCCCTGGTACTCACAGCCTCGTAGTCGGCGAGCTCCAGCCGGGCCTTGTTCTGCATCGTCCTCTTGCAGAGGTATACCGCTGGAGGGAAACAAACCAAACATCCATCATCTCTTGCCGAAACCGGTTTGGCTCAGTAGATAGAGCATCAGCCTGCGGACTGAAGGGTCTCAGGTTCCATTCTGGTCAAGGGCATGGACCTTGGTTGCGGGCACATCCCCGGTAGGGGGTGTGCAAGAGGCAGCTGGTTGATGTTTCTCTCTCGTCGACATTTCTAGCTCTCTATCCCTCTCTCCTCCTCTCTGTAAAAAATCAAATGTATATATATATATATATATATATATATATATATATATATATATTTGATTTTTTACAGAGAGGATATATATATATATATATATATATATATATATATATATCCATCATCTCCTGCCTGCTTATTCACACTGATGCACCGGCAATGAAAACACAGCCTTACACATCAAGACGTCTTTGTCACCTTTTAAAAAAAAAATATATATATATGTATATATATCTCTCTCTATCCCTCTCCCTTCCTCTCTCTCTAAAATCAATACAAATATATCTTTAAAAAAATCGCTCCAGCTTACAGGAGGCACATGGATTGTAAAAAAATAAAATAAAATAAAATAAAAAGACGGGGTAACACAACTTTAAAGAAAATACTAATACAATAGAAAGCCGCACAGCCCAGCCGCTCTCTCGCTGATGGCTAAAATGCATTCTTTTTTTGCTCCAAATTAACGCGTCTGGTTCCTGTTATGATCTAAACAGAGTGTAAACTGATACGACTCACGTGGCGATTCTGAAAGCTGGGCACAGAACATCCCCAGGTGACAGCCAACCTGGAAACAGCTCTGGGTCTGCCGGATGGTGACCCCGATACCTATCGTACACCGGAGGGGATGGGGGGACTCGGGGAGGCAGCCAGGAGAGTGGGGGGCGGGGAGGAAACACTCACTGATTTTATTTATTTATTTTTAAAATGTATTTTTATTGATTTCAGAGAGAGGAAGAGAGAGGGAGAAAGAGAAACATCTGTGATGAGAGAGAATCATGGACCGGCTGCCTCCTGCACGCCCCCCACTGGGGATGGAGCCCGCCACCCGGGCCTGTGCCCTTGACAGGGAATGGGAACCGTGACCTCCTAGTTCCTAGGTTGAGTGTATATCATTCTCTCCTCTCAACGTTTGGGCTGGGCTGAGGCTAACAAGTGTTCAAGGACACAGCTAAGCAGCAGCCGAGTTGAAATCTGAACCCAGTTAAGAGAAATATTCAGACTGAATCAAGGATAAGATCCTAAACGGAAGGCTACCTCATACATCCTCCTGCGGAAATAAGGCGCCTAGGACACTCCGGGCGGACAAGGAAGGAGGATTAAAATAGCCTGATGGACGCAGAAAGAAAAAGGATCGGTGTGAGCCGGAACTTTGCAGACCCATCGAAGGACCTGTTTCACTGGCCTCTAAGAAGCTGACCTTCAATGGTTAGCCTTCAACTTGACCCGATTATTGTTTCCTCTCCTGTGAGTGTTCTCGCAGGTTCCCAGCACGATCTCCCTATGCCTTCAAGGATGGGAGGGGGAGGGACAGGTGACCGAGGAGCAGCGCTTGAGGGCGGTGAATGGGCTTAGAATTTGCTTCGTTGAGATGATAAAAAAAGCAGAGGCCCGTCCGGTGCACAAAATTCGTGCACAGAGGGGGTGTCCGCTCCCTCTCCAATCTGGGACCCTTCGGGGGATGTCCGACTGCCGGTGTAGGGGCATTAACTCCAGCCACTAGGAAAGTCCCACAGAATGTCCTTGACATACAAAATGAGTGTGGTTTCATGAGTTGTTGTTGTTTTCTTTTTAATAACAATGGCCATTCCTTTAAATAATACCTGCTTACATACAATACAGCAGGTACTATGTGGATTCAGAACGTTAATATCACAAAATCATAGCAGGTTGTTGTGGAAATAACCTTGAATTGTCCAGTCCCAATGTTTATAAATATTGGAATTCCCTTTTCAAAGGTTTTGGATGCTTTTTGACCCAAGACAATGGTCAACAAACTCGCAAGCAGCAGTGTGCTGACAGCTGTCCTAAAAAACTTAACCAACTTTTGAGGCAACCCATTTTCTGTGAAAGGACTGGGGGGGGGGGGGGGCTTCGGGGGCAGGCGTACACCACCCCGCCCCCGGAGCAGGGCTGCAAGGACAGGGGGACTCCAGTGGGGCTGCCATCTTTGTGATAGCGTGATGGTCAATTTGCATATTCCCTCTTTATTAGCTAGGATAAAGTGGGCCCGATTTTCCCACAAACCCAAGAAAAAGGAACAACGGGTAGAAGTCAGAGTTCCCACAGACGAACAGTGGAGGAATCATTCTTAAATCAGCCAGCGGATGCCTGCCCCTGGTTAGGTGGGCTAACGGCAGGGTCCTGAGAAATGAGAATTTTAATGTGTTTTTGTTTTCAGATTTCACAGGGCGGCTGTGAACATGAAGGAAATACTCCACATAAAGCCTTTTGGCAAAGACAACGCATTGTGCAAAGGCAGGCACAGGGGACAGACGGTCAGCTCTTCTGTCGGGACTGATTACAAAGCGGTTACTTCAGAGCCAGAAGGACATGTGACTGCGTGGAGGGCCCCGGACAGCGTCCTGCCCCGCGGACTAAACCGGTCAGAGGAAGATAAGCATCGCAGGATCTCCCTCACCGGAGGAAGCTAATGAACAAAATGAACCGATGGACAAAACAGATCCAGAGGCAGAGACACGTGGAATAGACGGACGGATTTCAGAGGGAAGCGGGGGGTAGGGGACAGGGAGTGGCTATAATTTTGGGGGGAGGGCTCTGCCCTCCAAGCTGGGACTTGCACGAGGCCACGAGCGGACTGTGCCCTCTCATTAGCCCGAGGTTTGTACCTGTCCAAACACTGTAGCCACTCTAGTCAAGTTGGGCTGAGAAATCCTAGATCCTTTTGCAACCTAAGCAGAGACATTGTCGTCCAGCTGGTAAAATACATTTAAAACAGAAATATGGCCCAGCCAGCGTGGCTCAGTGGGTTGAGCATCGACCTAGGAACCAGGAGGTCACGGTTCGATTCCTGGTCAAGGCCCAGGCTTGGGTTGCAGGCTCCATCCCCAGAGAGGGGCGTACAGGAGGCAGCCAATCCATGATTCTCTCTCACCAAGGATGTTTTCAGTTCTCTCTCCCTCTCTTTCTCCCTCCCCCTTCCTCCCTGAAATCAATAAGAATATAGATTTTAAAACAGAAGGATGTTTGGGAAGGCTTTTCAAGCTCTGCCTCTTGCTCCCCTGCCCAGGGCATCAGCCGAAGGCACAATCCTGGAACCCGGCGAATAGCACAGTGACCTGTGAGCACAGTGTGTTATCACCGGGACTTTCATCAGAGCAGCTGGGAGCTGGCCAAAGCTCTGCAGAGAAGCCAGAAAGCAGCAGCGGGAGATGCCGCAGGCTCAGAAAAACATTTGTTGGCTTAACCAGAAGCTTCGTTAACGAGAACCCAACAACTTCGAGCTTAACACGAAAACACAGCCCAGGTCATCACAGAATGTACAGCCTGCCAGAATTTGTTCCAAGACAATGACGGAAACACAACGACCCAGCACATTCGGTCTACTTAACAGCCAGAGAAACAGTGCCATCAGCCCGGCCTGTGTGGCTCAGTGGTTGAGCATCGACCTAGGAACCAGGAGGTCACAGTTCGATTCCCGGTCAGGGTACACACCCCGGTTGTGGGGTTCCATCCCCAGTGTAGGGTGATGCAGGAGGCAGCCGATCTGTGGTTCTCTCTCATCATGGATGTTTCTATCTCTTTCTCTCCCTCTCTGAAATCAATCTATATATATAAAAGCCTAAGTGACCGTCCACCATCCAACCATCCAACCAGTAGCTATGAAGCGCAATGACCACCAGGGGGCAGATGCTCAGTGCAAGAGCTGCCAAGTGACAGCAACTTTGCAGAGCGCTCTCTTGCATTCCGGATCCCCTCGGGGGATGTCAGACTGCCGATTTAGCCCAATTCCCGCAGCCAGGCTGAGAGGCCCAATGCTGGAGGGACCCCGCTCACCCTGCAGATGCCCTTTGACCCCCAACACTACCCGAAGTGTGGTCAGTGGGGGAGTGACTGCAGGATGTTGGCTCCATCTGGTCCATCTCACCCAATCCTGCCCTGCCAGACCCCTTTCTAATTAATTTCCTTTCAATGTGCATGCATGCATGCACCGGGCCTCTAGTAAAAATATATATTTTAAAAATAGTGAGAAAAATGAAGCCTTAGGAAGTCAATGGACTTACCATAATTCCACTTCCCTAAAGAGAGGAGCTAGCATGCTGACCCTCTGAGGCCCTCGGTAATAATAACTCTTTGTAATAATAACTATTTCCATGTGCGATGGGAAAATAATAACAGCCTTTCTTTAAAGCTTGTTTATCGGTCTTTCACTCCTTCAGGAGAAAATCTATTTTTTCTTTCACAGCCCCAGCGGACACTATCCCACGGGAAGAGCTGCCACCAGGTTTGGTATAACTTTCCAAAAATCACAGCCATTCGCCTATCCCGTGTTAGCGACACGAGCCCCGTCCCGAGAACAGCCGTGTTCTTTTCTCCATCACAAAAGCAATGAACACACAAGCACACACGTTCACGCGGCCACACGGGCTGCCCCGCAGACCATGGAATGGAGAATGCACTGACCGTAGTCCGTGTTTTCCGGCTCCCAGCAATTGGATGGCCAAAAGTAGGGCGTCTGTGGGGTGAAAAGAAGCAGAAAACCCAGGTCAGACATGAAATAAGGACCAGAGTGGCTGGCTTATGCGCGGTGTGTCTATTGAGCAATCCTCCGAGATTCTAGAAGAGTCCAGGGAAGATCTGTTTGTGATCCAGAGAGGCGATGGAAGGTTCTTCTCCCACGTGTACTCTGCTGAGCAATGATCCTGCCCCAAAGATATCCCACATGGGCTGCCATTGTATGTCAACGGACATACAACGTTGGAGTCCACCAAGACGGAAAGCAGAGGGTGACAGTCGGCATGACTTGGGATAAAACATGTTTAAAAATAACCAACGGTTTGGCTCAGTGGATAGAGCATCAGCCTGCGGACTGGAGGGTCCCGGGTTCGATTCTGGTCAAGGGCATGTATCTTGGTTGCGGGCACATCCCCAGTGGGGGGTGTGCGGGAGGCAGCTGATCGATGATTCTCTCTCCTCGATGTTTCTAGCTCTCTATCCCTCTCTCTTCCTCTCTGTGAAAAATCAATAAAATATATTTTTTTAAAAGTAACCAATTGTCTTCTATGACTCATGTACCTCAACATAACCATCTGTCGAGCCCATGCTCAACCTTGAGTTGAACTCTCTCCCTCCGCAGGCAGGCCATCATTGGCCTTGGTTTTATTCAACATGTACTACAGCTCTTCACTGTATCCAACAGAATGAAAAAAAATGTCCCCCTCACTCACTTTAAAAAAAACATTTCTTCATATAGACACGGATTGCGCTAATTTTTTAAACTGCGCCAACCAGAGATCGTGTTTTTAACTTATAACGCCCTAGTTGATGGTCAGGATTGACAACAGACGGAAGTCTGATTCTGTGAAGTTCTAGAAACAAACTGACGAAACTACCAAGACGATGTCTAATCCAAAGGACCCCATTGTCATGGGCCACACCTTATATTTTCTAAAAGGGCTTTTCCAGCTCTGATCACGAGGAAAATTAATGGCCACCTGTTTATCAAATTTTTCTCGGATAATGGTGACTCAACGGAACAGTGACTGCAGACACGGGCCTTGTGGTCTTATTTATTAGTCAACCAGAGGCACGGTGCACATATTTGTGTACCGGAGGGGTCCCTTGGCCTGGCCTGTGGGGATGGGGCCGAAACAGGCTCTCTTACATCCCCTGAGGGGTCTCAGATAGCGAGAGGACATAGGCCAGGCTAAGGAATCCCACAGGTGCACGAATGGAGCCGGGGAGGGACCGTGGGAAGGCTCCAGGGCATGTCTGGCCCATCTTGCCCAGTCCCCATTGGCCGGACCCCAGTAGCAAGCTAACCTACCCCAGCAGCAAGCGTCTGCCCCCCTGGTGGTCAGTGCATGTCATAGCAACTGGTTGAATGGTTGAACACTTAAACATATTATTAGGCTCTTCTGATGTAGGGTTATATTAACTACCCATATGTAACCAGCACATGTGTGTCATCTCTGATTGCCTATCTGATAATTCTACCTTCTAGAAGAGGCATCCCCAGGAGGGAAGTAATGAAAATCTTGCTTTCATGTGGGTTTTGAGACACTTCTCTTAGAGTTCATTATTCCCTTTGGATTGCCTCTTTGTTTTGGGAGGGATGTGTGTGTGTGTGTGTGTGTGTGTGTGTGTGTGTATGCACACAATAGCTATTCAACTTTTAAAGTACCTATTCTAGCTAGGTTGTTCAGATATATCCTTTCATTTCTTTCAAACCACAAGGTCTTCTTGCTGCATTCTTACCATTTTTCTTTCTTCTTTTATCATTGAGTAAGGATTTCCTGGATGTAAAAAATAAAAGAACGAAACTACTGTATTCTCTACTATTATGTGGAAATGTCATTAAAAGCAGCATTCTTCACTAATACTGTAAGAGTTTTCCTAGAAAAATTTTTTTATTTACAGTCAAAGGCAATTTAAAATCCTTGTCGCTTGCTAGAATTTAAAAAATACGCTTTTAGAGTCTGCATAGACGTTAGAGCATTTTTAATGTGTGAGTGCTGGCTTCTTCAGCTATGATAAAAAGCAATCCAAAACTGTCCAGCCATTTCTTAATCATCACTGGCACATTGTTAATGCAGTGACAGTCATACCAGAGGCCGGGAAAATGATGTCAGATGTCAATTCCAATTAGCGACGAGATGGAAATTGGACAACTGCAAGTTTACATTAATACAAAAGGACATGATTAAAAAATGTACTGAAAATTGAGACCGATTTACATATTGTTGCATGCCGGTGAAATGAAGGGTTCTGTTTGCCTCAAACTCATGCCCTGAAGCGTTTGTCTTGAGATGGGTGATGATGGTTAGAATCTCAATTTGTTCAGTGGAACAACTGCAAACATGAGATGACAAGTTTCCCATGTTAATTTGCGGTGTTTAAAATCCTTTCACGGAGCCGAGTTTCAGTTCAATGTCATATAGAGCCTTCTGCTTCCTGGAGCCAGTTCCCCAACATGGCAGTGAACACCTGGACTGACCAATATCTTGGCAGATATTATAGTAGAGATTCAGCTTTTCTTGGCCCTTCTGTCTTTTCTGTTTTTTAAAATCTTGGTTTTAAGATTTGGTGATTATTAGATTTACAAATACTTAGATCCTATTTCTAATGTAGGTGGCCATTAAAATTGTTACCATTTTATATGTAATATTGAAGGATTGGTGCACAAATTCGTGCACAGGTGGGGTTTGTCGGTCTGGCCGGTGATCGGGGCTGACTGGGGCCGGCTGGCAGTGGGGGAGGGACCATGGGAGGTTGACCAGCAGGGGGATGTTGGCTGTGGGAGCACACTGACCACCAGGGGGCAGCTCCTGGATTGAGCATCTGCCCCCTGGTGGTCAGTGCACGTCATAGCGACCAGTCATTCGGTTGTTCGGCTACTTAGGCTTTTCTATAGAGAGATAACTTTAGTCATCGGAGAATTTAGCTTTCACAAACCATCTACACTAAGCATAAGCCATCTCTCTTTGTTTCATAGTCTTATGTCTTAAACTTAACAGATTGTTACTAACTAGCCTAAGTCAAATGACTTACAATTTTCAAATATTCTGTCAAAATAAAATGCCTGTCTCACTGTTAAAGAACATTTTCATTAAACTTACCTGAAACCGGTAAAAGGTGCCGTCATCCTTGAGGGTGAGGACGTGATCTGAGATTGGGAAGAAGTAGCCATGGGCAGCCATCAGCGTCCCCAAATGGAGGGCCTCCACTGTTTCACGAAAACACACAAAAACGCATGAAGACCTTTTTAAAATTACGGGATGTCATGAAGTATTCCTCACACACGTAGGAATGTGTCCCAGGCGAGGCAGCACTGTGCCCGGACCCTGGAAACCAGATTATTGCTGCAGCCTAGACACAGTGTCCGCCACAGAGAATGGATCCTCGGTTTAAATAAGAGCATTAAAGAGGATCATGTGGGCCAAAACCAGTTTAGCTCAGTGGGTAGAGCGTTGGCCTGCGAACTGAAGGGTCACGGGTTTGATTCCGGTCAAGGGCATGTACCCTGGTTGCGGGCACATCCCCAGTGGGGGAGGGGTGCAGGAGGCAGCTGATGGATGTTTCTCTCTCATTGATGTTTCTAGCTCTCTATCCTTCTCTCTTCCTCTCTGTAAAAAAATCAATAACATATATTTAAAAAGAAAAAAGAGGATAATGTGGGCATGACGAAAGGTAACCACGTGCTCAGACCTCATGCCACAATGGAGTGACGGCAAATTAAAATTAGTGAGATTCACTTTTACGAGTCTTACGAAGAGGAATGTCATGATCTCCTGATCATGTGCTGCAAATTCCATGTTCAATAGCTGGTGAACATGCACACAGTCCCTCCCTGCTAACCGTCGCCACCCCGCCCAAACCAACTTTTAAAAAATGGAGTATCAAATATGTTAAAAAAAAAGGTAAACATAGACTAACTAAATTTTAGATGATTATAGGTTGACTACCATCACATTTGCATAAAGGCTACCATCCTAGTGAAGTGTAATGATCAATCTTTCAGGTTTGCTTGCCTGTCGGGTTAGAAATGTATTTTTTTAAAGCATGAGAAGAGTTCAATGAATGGGAAAATGGTTTATTTACCTGGATCTTCTATCGTCAGGTTCTTTATCAACCACTGAACAATGTCTGACCCTAGAAGGAAGAAAAACGCAAATATAGGTGAACATCAGTCTCTATGTATTAAGAAACCTTAACTTCTGGCACTCGTACTAGTACACAGGAGTGATCACGGAGGAGCTGCAGGAAATGGTAGGTTTGAGGTACATTTTGATCTGTGGACCAGACAGAGATGTAGCCGCTGGAGGGGCATGTGTCAGAGTTCAAAGGTGAAGAACCGCCGATAAAAGCCATCCACTGCACACTCTGCACACAGGAACATGGAACTGGTACGTGTCCATACTGCAGCCAGCTGGTCTTAAATTCTAGGCTAAAGAATGTGGATTACTATTATTATTATTTAATATATTTTATTGATTTTTCTACAGAGAGGAAGGGAGAGGGATAGAGAGCCAGAAACATCGATGAGAGAGAATCACCCATCAGCTGCCTCTTGCACACCCCCTACTGGGGAGGTGCCCGCAACCAAGGCACATGCCCTTGACCGGAATCCAACCCAGGACCTTCCAGTCTACAGACCAACACTCTACCACTGAGCCACACCGGTTTCGGCAAGAATTTGGATTATTTTATTAATACTTTTATTTTTATTTTTTAAAGTATAATTTTATTAATTTCAGAAAGGAAAGGAGAAGGGGAGGTAGAAACATCCATGATGAGAGAGAATCACCGATCAGCTGCCTCCTGCATGCGTCCAACTGGGGATGGAGCCCACAACCCGGGCCTGTGCCCTTGACCGGAACTGAACACGCCCAGGGCTGGTTGCATTTTGAGATGGATTTACTAGCTCCTCAAGGAAGCTCTGAGGAAAGGAAGGAAAGAAAAGAAAAAAACTCCACTGGCTTCCTTACTCAGAGCCAGGGGAGTGCCGAGTGCTGGGTGTGGCCTTAGAGCCTAAGAGAAAGGGAACTGAGTTGTCCGATATGCCTGAAGTGACCCGGATGCAGGCAGCCTTCTCGGTCCCCCAACCTTACGCGTGTCCAGGCACCCCGCTCCGTCTCCTCCTTGGCCCCTCTATTCGGGGAGCCCCCGGGAGCAGCCGCTGGAAGACGTCCATGCTTTTGACGAAAGCCAACCGTTCCGAACAGACGACGTTTTTCGTCACAGTGAGAAAGGGGATTTAAAAAAATGCCTCTAGAGAAAGTGTTTTAAAAGTTTTCTTTTTTTTTTTGCTGAGCATAAAAAAAAAAAAAAAGTACAAAGAAGCCTAATTGGGAATTACATAATTCAAGACATGGGAACCTTTCCTTCCTGGCCTAGTTTTAGATATTCCTGTCCTGGTCCTAGCCAGAACTCAATAAAAGTTAAGGGGGAAGAAGCCTGGCTGGTATGGCTCAATGGAAGAGCGTTGAACTTTGAACCAGGAGGCCAGGGTTCAATTCCCGGTCGGGGCACAGGCCTGGGTGGCGGGCTCCATCCCCAGCGGGGGGCGTGCAGGAGGCAGCGGATCCATGATTCTCTCTCATCATGGATGCTTCTATCTTTCGCCCTCTCTCTTTCTCTCTGATGTCTATCTATCTATCCATCTATCTGTAGATACAGATCTACATCTATATATCTATAGATCTAATATAGATAAATGAATCTATCTATATAAATGAAGCTAAGAGCGAAAAGGAAATGGAAGTTGAGGACTGAGAACTCCCCAGGCCTCCCAGTCCATGTGAGGGCACCAACGAGCAGTCAGCAGCCTGGCAGGGGGTCCCTCCCAGCACCCAAGGGGCACCTGGCTTCCAGCCCCCCAGCCTCCAGAGCGGTGACACATCCTCCCCAGTTGTCTATCAGCCGTCCCGCTGCTGGTGACTCAGCCCAGGCTGACTCAGCCGAAGGACATCTTGGTGGCTTCCCGGTTTGGCAATTCCGAACCAAGCTGCGATCCACGTTCATGCACAGATTCCATGCGGACTGCTTTGAGCTGCTCTGGGCAAACGCCAAGGAGCATGATGACCGGGTGACAGGGCCAGAGTCGGTGGAGTTGTGCGAGAAGCCACCGAACAGCTTTCCACAGCGGCTGGGCCCCCTCACTGGCATTGGGTGTTGTCAGCATCTGGAGGTGGGTCATGCCAACAGGTGCGTGGTGCAACCTCGTCACTTTCCTTGGCATTTCTCTGATGACGTGTGATGGGGAGCATTTTGTCTGATGCCTCCTGGCCATCTGTCCGTCTCCCTTGGCGCTGTGTGGGGTGCGGTCCTTGGCTCCTTTTTCATCAGGTTGTCTGGTTTCTTCTTGTTGAGTTTTAAGAATTTGTCTATTTTGGGTCACAGTCCTTGATCCGACGTGTCTTTGGCAAATGTGTTCTCCCAGTCCGTGGCTTGTCTTCTCCTTCTCTTGACATGGTCTTCCATTGCACAGAAAGTTTTGATCTTTTTTTTTTTTTTAATATGCTTCTTTTACATATTTTTTTAATGGATTTCAGAGAGAAAGAGAGAGGAGACAAGAGAAACATCCATCAGCTGCCTCCTGCACACCTCCTCCTGGAGATGTGCTCACAACCAAGGTAGTGGATAGAGCGTCGGCGTGCAGAATGAAGGGTCCCAGGTTCGAGGCTGGTCAAGGGCATGGACCTTGGTTGCGGGCACATCCCCAGTAGGAGGTGCGCAGGAGGCAGCTGGTCGATGTTTCTCTCTCATCGATGTTTCTAGCTCTCTATATCCCTCTGCCTTCCTCTCTGTGAAAAATCAATGAAATATATTAAAAAAAACAAAACAAGTTTCAAAAACCCACCTCATTAGTTTCATTCCTTTTACCTAGAAACCCCTAAGCTAGCTTATTCCTTTTTCAAAAAAAAAGGGGGGGGGAGGTGCTATAATGGGGTTTGGATGGAGCTTTAAGGCCATTTTGGTGGCCAAACACCTTGGCCATAAGTTCGCACAACCTGTCCGAGGCTGCGGTGAACCTAGAGCAGGCTGGCCAGGGGCCACGGGGTGTGTGTGCCAAACGAGAAAGTTTGTCCTGAAGCCTCGCTGGCGAATGCTGCTGCGTCTGCAGGAGAACCAGCCCTGTGATTATTCAATTACTGCGCACCCCGGGCTCTGACTCACCACCAGGTTCCCCGGCGTGCCCATCTATTTACCGCTCGATTGAATAATTCCCCCCGGAGGGGATCATGCACGCGGGCTGACAGACGGTCCCCACCCTCCCTGAGGGGACAGAGCGGCTTCCAGAAACAGCTGCTGCCGAAATAACACGGCCTGGGCCTCCCCTCCTTTCCTGTCCCGTCGGGGGGTCTCACCTTTGGAGAGGGGGTGGCTGTGACCCCGAGGAGAAAGCGATAGGTGTAATGCCGGGGTCTGCTGCTGGCCTGGGGCGGGTTTAAAACCACTTGGCTCACCCTGGCCGGTGTGGCTCAGTGGATAGAGCTTCAGCCTGCGGACTGAAAGGTCCCAGGTTTGATTCCGGTCAAGGGCATGGACCTTGGTTGCAGGCACATCCCCAGTAGGGGGAGTGGGGGGTGTAGGAGGCAGCTGATCAATGTTTCTCTCTCATCCATGTTTCTAGCTCTCTGTCCCTCTTCCTTCTTCTCTGTAAAAAAAATCAATAAAATGTATTTTTTTAAATAGATTTTATTGATTTTTTACAGACAGGAAGGGAGAGAGAGAGAGTTAGAAACATCGATCAGCCACCTCTTGCACACTTCCTACTGGGGATGTGCCTGCAACCAAGGTACATGGCCTTGTCTGGAATCGAACCCTGGACTTTCAGTCCGTAGGCTGACGCTTTATCCACTGAGCCACACCGGTTTTGGCAATAAAATGTATTTTTTTTTAAACAAAAAACAACAACAATGGCTCGTGTTACATGTTCCTGGTGAAATTCTCATCAGTTCAACATGAAGCAAGAAAGAGAAAAATTATATACTGACTTTTTTTTTTTTTTTAGGAAGCTAAATATATCTACTTTTTTAAAGTTTTTATTTTGTATTGCGTCTCCTAAATTATTTTCGGTAATAAAATGTCCTTCCTTTTAATAAATTACAGTAATATCAGATTACAGGGTTTGTTTTCTTTTTTTTAATGTCTTTATTTGGCAAGATAGGGTTAGCAGCTGGACGACAGGCCCCTAATCTATTATTTAATTTTACTTGTTCATAACATCCAAACCGCTGGGAATTCTTAATCTAGAGCACACATCTCCATGGCGCATTCTAAGCTGCTGCAATTGAGGTTGCATGCAAAAAAAAATTAAAATTAAAAAAAAAAAAGGGATGGGGATTTTATTGTTAGATATGCTCAGAAGTGCTGGGCTAAGAAATATTCTTAAAAGACAGAAAAAGGATAATCTTACTCTGGCCAGGAAGCTCCGTTAGTTGGGAGTGTTGCAGCACGTACAGGCATCAATCAAGGAATGCATAAATGAGTGGACTAGCAAATCAATGCTCTCTCTCTCTATATATATATTTTTTTCTTCTTACTACATTATATATATATTTTATATATATTCTTACTACAGAACTTCTCAGAACCTTAAAAATACTAATGCAATTTGTGGGTGAATTCCAAAAATGAAGACACATTATACATTTCTAGAGGCCCAGTGCATGAAATTCGTGCACGGGGTGTGTGTGGGGGGTGTCCCTCAGCCTGGCCTGCACCCTCTCCAGTCTGGGACCCTTCACACAATCTGGAACCGCTGACTCCTAACCGCTCACTTGCCTGCCTGCCTGCCTGTTAGGCCCCTAACCACCCTCCCCTGTTGACCTGATTGTCCCTAACCACCCTCCCCTGCTGGCCTTATAGCCCCTAACTGCTCTCCCCTGCTGGCCTCTGCCTTGGCTTTCGTAAGAAGAGAGGACTGATCGACCCGGTCTAATTAGCATATTACCCTTTTATTAGTATAGATATCCCACAATTATTTGACAAAGAATTCTCTCATGAAGAATCATCTTAGCCATAGCTGGCTTGGCTCAGTGGATAGATTGGATAGAGCATCAGCCTGCAGACTGAAGGGTCCCGGGTTCGATCCCTAATCAGGGCATATGCCTGGGTTGTGGGCTCAATCCCCAGTAGGGGGTGTGCAGGAGGCAGTGGATCAACGATTCTCTCTCATCATTGATGTTTCTATCTCTCTCTTTCTTCCTTCCTCTCTGAAATCAATAAAGAAATATATATTTTTTTAAAGTTTTTTTTAATTTTATTTAAAGAATCACCTTATCAAATTTGTCCTGGGAACCATTAACCTAGAGACTCCTAAAGCTTGGCGCCTGCACCTGACGTTTGCTGATAAGGATACACGCACCATCATACTTTTCACGGAGCGAGAAGACCGAGGACCACAAAGGAGACAGAGATGTCAATGCGAATACCGGCCATGTCACCCTCGGATCACAATCTCAGCGCCTCCGACCTTTTCTTCTCTTGGCCTCGCCGGCCCAGCTTGAGAAAAACAATCGCGATTCCCACGCTTACATTTCCCCAAAAAGGGACTTTACCACGTCAACCCATTGTGTGCCTTTCAAAAGCATCTTTCGCTCTTCGCTGAAGTCATGTGACTGTTGCCAGAGGAACGGCCCAGGCTCATGATGGGCAGGGATGGGCAGTAAAAAAAAAAAAAAAAAAAAAATCTCTCTTCAGGTCCCAGTCACTGAAGAAAGCAAACGGCTTGGAGACAATGAAGGAACAGGCTGTGACAGAAAGCCACTGTCCCCTAGCCCGTAAATTACAGCTCCCAAGGTCCTTTGGGGGACAGAGTTGGGGGACAGTGGCCTAGCTCCCCTCAATACACAACATCAACAACAATAACATACGTTTTTTAAAATATATGTTATTGATTTTTACAGAGAGGAAAGAAGAGGGATAGAAAGTTAGAAACATCGATGAGAGAGAGTCACCGATCAGCTACCTCTTGCACACCCCTTACTGCGGATGTGCCCGCAACCAAGGTCCATGCCTTTGACCGGAATCGAACCTGGGACCTTTCAGTCTGCAGACCGACGCTCTATCCACTGAGCCAAACCGGTTTCGGCACAATACATGGTTTTTAAAAACACCAAGGAACACCCTACTTCCTGCTGTAAAAGTATGCCGGTTACATAACAGAACACAAGTCGTTTACTAATTAGCATGCATGTGTAACATCATTCCTGGCGTGGCTACGTGAGTTCTGTTTTTTTTGTTTGGTTTTTATTCAGGTAGAATCTACGGAGGCCACATGCAGATGTAAGAAAGCCCGGAGAGGAATGTGCAGTAGACGGAACAAGGGGCAATAGAATTACAACCAGCGCCAGGATGGGCCCATTCATAACCATCTAATATATTATTGATCGGAAATGAATCAGAGCGCATGGAGCAATGCTCACGGAGGAGGTGAGGGACGCCCATCCTGTTTCCTTCTTTTAACCTCCCGTTTCTCTTGAGCTTAATATTAATAGATGAGAGGCCCTGTGCATGAACTCGTGCACTAGTGGGGTCCCTTGGCCTGGCCTGCAGGATCGGGCCAAAACCGGCTCTCTGCCATCCCCAAAGGGTCCTGAATTGCCAGAGGGGCACAGGCCAGGCCAAGGGACCCTACTGGTGCGTGATTGGGGCAAGAGAGGAATGCGGAGGTTGGCCAGCCAGGGAGGGACGGAGGAAGGGCTCCAGAGCGTGTCTGGCCCATCTCGCTCAGTCCTGATCTGTCGGACCCTAGCAGTAAGCTAACCTGCCTACAGGGTGCCCCACACATCGGCCCTGATCGCCAGCCAGGCCTAGACCCTACCTGTGCACAAATTTTGTGCACAGCGCCTCTAGTTATTTAATGATCTCCCACTGCGTTTGCACCCAACAGCTGTTAACATCACCTCTTGCTAACAGCCCACCTGATCAGAAAGGTTCAGACAACTATCCCGTCACCGCCTGAGACGGGGTAGAATGCTTATTTTTAGCTTTCTGGTATTTGATCGGAAATGCTTTCAGCCGGGAATGACTTCAATAAGAGTGTGCATCCGCAGGGGAGAAAAGTCAAATATTAAAGGAAACCTCCTTGCTCTCATCCAAAGGGTGGTTCTTTATGTTTTTAAAGAAAACGTCAGTTCTATTTTTACTTTTCTTTTGGGTTCTCGAAGGCTTAGGCTAAGAGAAACATAGGTCTGGTATCAAAAAGCTTTAAGAACCAAAAATGTTCTATCTATAATTCATTAATCTTTTATTTTAAAAAAATATTTTTTTATTGATTGCAGAGAGAAAGGGAGTGGGGAGAAAAAGAGACAGAGAGAGAGAAAGAGAGAGAAACATCAATGATGAGAATCATTGATCAGCTGCCTCCTGTACGCCCCCTACTGGGGATCAAGCCAGCAATCCAGGCCTGTGCCCTGACCGGGAATCCAACCGTGACCTCCTGGTTCATAGGCTGATGCTCAACCTCTGAGCCACACAAGCCGGGCTGGGCCGAGCATCTTAAATCAACTCTACTCCTTTCTCCGTAGAAATGGGATTGGCTCAGAAAAAAACACACACACCATCTTGTGCACGATTCCCATAAAAAAATGTCTCAAAGAAGAAACTGAAGAATAAGTACCTAGATTATTTCGTGGTGACAAAAAAGGGGAGTTAGGACAAAAATCTTACATGTATGCAGAGCACTCAAACGTTGCCACGGAAACCGGCTGAGCAGTTATGCAAATGACTCTAGGGTTCCTAGAAATCTGAACCAGAGAATAAATGAAAGAGCGGGGATAGGGGCGGGGGAGAATGGCTAATTGGGGATATACGTTCTGCGGTGATCAGTTATACTTCCCTCTTTGAAAACCATGTAATGCGGTAATTACAGTGTTTGGAGAGAAGGAGTGGACATACTGGGAGGGGGAGGAGGACATGAGTGATTCTCTCTCATCATTGATGTTTCTATCTGTCTGTTCTTCTCCCTTCCTCTCTGAAATAAAATCAATCAATCAATCAATCAATAGCAAATTTAGATGCTCAGCAAGCACTGCACGAAGCAGACCACAACCCATGAAAGAGAAAACAGTGTCTGGCCTTAACCGGTGTGGCTCAGTGGATAGAGCATCGGCCTGCGGACTGAAGGGTCCCCGGTTCGATTCCGGTCAAGGGTATGGACCTGGGCTGTAGGCACATCCTAGTAGGAGGTGTGCAGGTGGCAGCTGATCGATGTTTCTAACTCTCTACCCTTCCTCTCTGTAAAGTATCAATAAAATATATTTTAAAAAGAGAAAAAAGGGAAAAGTGTCTGGGCCCAGGCCGCACGGCTGTAAGCAAAGCTAACGCTAAAAATAAAAACCCCTGAAACGCGGCCGTTTCTGCTAGCGTGCGGGTGTGGCCCTAAAATGAGGACGAGCTGGCTCTTCCTCTTGATCAGATCCTCGGATCCAGCCACGTTGGAAAGTAAATCATGTCCCGGCAGATGCAGCGAGAGTTCCTTATGGCTCAGCGGCAGTTAGCATGAGAAATATTGCCCAGGGCTGGTGCCTGAGAGTTCTTATATATGTCTAATCATCTGTGTGGCAACTTCACCAGGAAGGAGAGGATGACCACGGAGAGGGGTGAAGAACCCGTCATGGCAGAGACAAACCAACTATCTAGTTGACCAGGGGACGGCTCAGCTGCTCAATTCCCAGCTGGGTTGACTGTGCGGTGACTCTATGCCAGTTACCCTGTCCTTTTGGCCAACAGGTGACACAAATGACCATAAAAACCCAAAAGACTGTTTTTCTTTTTTAAAAAAAATATATTTTATTGATTTTTACAGAGAGAGGAAGAGTTAGAAACATGGATGAGAGAGAATCATCCATCAGCTGCCTCTTGCACACTCCCCACTGGGGATGTGCCCGCAACCAAGGTCCATGCCAATGACCAGAATCGAACCTGGGACCTTTTGGTCCACAGGCTGATGCTCTATCCGCTGAGCCACACCGGTTTCGGCCAAAATTCTGTTTTTCTTTCTTTTTGGCAAATGTTCATGTCTCTTGTCCATCTGGTTAATGCTTCTCATTTTGTTCCTGAATTTGTTTCAGAAACGATCCTGAAGAACAGCCCATATAGTCAAGGCGCTTTCTCCCCTATGTGCTGCTCATCCATTTCCCTTTTGCATTCTAGAATTTTCTTTGGGATGGCACACAAACAACATGGTCTAAGCGTCGTCTCTGCCTGGAGACTTTAGAATTGTTTTGCAAAGCAAAAGATCCGGACAACACAGAGCTACACAGAGCTGCACGGATGCACACTTACCAGAGAAGACGCTGGGGATCTTGGAAAGGAAGCTTTTGACCGTTCGAATGGGAATCCCGTTTTTCTCGTCTTGCATGCGGGCTATGACATCTTCCATCTAAACAAGGACAACATGATTAGAACCTTTCAGAAGTTGAATTCAAAACAAAACAAAACAACAACAACAAAAAACAGTTTCCATGACCATTTGGTACATCCGTCTTGCTCAACCGGGAATAACGGGACGCTCTTACCTTGCTAGACTCGGAAACATGAATATTTTTAAGTTTGGTCACAAAGGATGGAGAAAACAGCGAAGAGAGCGGCCACTGGAGGTTCCGTTAACCTACCAAGGGGAGCTGTGGATTTTGCCTCTCTCCTTGTGTTTGTGTGCTCTGCTCGGAAAGGTTGCGATAAGAGTGCTTATTTCTGTAGCTGTCAGAAATCACAGACATGGCAAAATGCACCCTTCGTTAATAGTATCATCTCTACTGAGCTCACTGAGAAAGAAAACAGAAGCCCTAAGAGCCATTGTTTGGGTTTCCTCTTTGGCAAAGACAGACGAGAAAATCCAGTTCCTAAAAGCTCAGACCTGCTGCAAGGGCCGCGTATAAAAATACATCCACTGCACTCACTGACATTCCCTTACCCATTCACTCAGACCATTTTTCTATCACTCACTTGGTTACCTGCTTTCTCACTATGAGCAAGAGCCAGTTAGAGGAGGAGAATGTTAAACGCAGACCAACTAACAGAACAAGGTAGGCAGCAACAGGGATGAGGGGTTATAAGAAGTAACTCTAGTAAATGATAAAATTTTGGGGGGCAACTTAAGTCCCAAAGACTCCAGTATCTCAAAAGAAGATGTATATTACCCATTACCTAGATACGAGCAATAGATCTATCTATAATCTATCTAGCTATCTATCATCTATATCTATCATCTATCTACATATCATCTATCACCTATATATATTCTATCTATCATCTATCATCTATCTATCATCTATCATCTATCTATCTATCTATCTATCTATCTATCTATCTATCTATCTATCTATCTATCTATAAGACCTAGATGTCATTGAGGTTGTAAAGGACCAGCCTGTATTTTATAAGCCTGTTTCTGACGGAGGAAGAGAGAACTCTAGCCCAAGATAACAGAACACGTGACTGTGAGCAGCAGACTAAGGGCATGCCTTGGTGACTTTCTCTGAGTCTCATTTTCTTTACCCTTCACATAAGAGGCAGGTGACCTGTACGATTTCTTCTATCTTCTAGCGGCACTATTAGTGAGGTCTGGAAATAATCATCCGTGTTCAGAACTATAGAGTGCTCATCACTCAAAGGGCCGGTTCCCGACCAGAGTCGGAGAGACGAGTAAATGAGATTGAACAAGGCCTTTTTCTAATCTCTCTGATTAGGACTGTCCTTGCACTGTAACATCAGTGCAAACAGCAGAGTGAAATGGACCAGTTACTCTATTCCTCTAAGATTCCATTTTTGTCCCACCGGTAATCCTATAGAATAAAACCCTAATATGCAAATCGACCAAACAGCAGAGTGACCGGCCGCTATGACACTCACTGACCATCAGGGGGTGGAAGCTCAACACAGGAGCTGCCCCCTGGAGGTCAGTGCACTCCTACAGGGGAAGTGTCGCTCAGCCAGACGCCGGGCTGAGGGACTACCCCCCTCAGTGCATGAATGTCGTGCACCGGGCCTCTATATAGAGATAATAATAATAATAATAAATAATAATAATAGTGTGCATCTTGTTACAGGTGATCCTTAATGGAACAATGCTCAGTAAATATTTGCAGAATTCTATCATCATCATCGCCATCGCCATCACCATCATTATCATCAGTGTCTTCCCTCATCGAGGCACTAGAATGCCACAGTCGCTTTCCATCATAACTCAGTTGGCAAAGACAGCTGTGGTCGAATGCCAAGCATTTACTGCTGTAATAAATTGCCAGCCACAGGGCAGACGAAGATGGACAAGCTTAGATTTCTTGTAGAAGGCCGAGCGTGAGCTGGCCTCTGGAAGACAGGGGGCTTGATTCGAAGAAACGTCGGGAAGAATGATTCTTGCATCTAAGTAAGAACTACGAAAACGGTGGGGGGGGTGGGGGGAAAGTAGCATTTAGAAGGGGAAATGAGACTGCATCCACGTTTGACAAAATGAACATGTTTCTGCTCTCCTATCCGCTTGATGAATGTGCCTCTTGAAGTTCATTAGCGGATCCAAATATTGAATTGAATGGAGATGAAATCCTCTTTGCAAAAGCAATCCTGTATCGGTGCAAACTAATGAGCTCTTTTCCGCGGAGAGCAAAAACAATGGCCTCTTGCAAAGTGATTTTGAGAATATCTACAGCTCAATTTGTTTTAAATGCTTTATGCCTCTATTACGAGACTCTTCACACGGCAGTTATGGTGCCTCTTAAACTGTCTTCCCTTGGACTTGAACTTCCTGAGGCAAGAGAAGCCTCACCTTGCCCATTTGTGTATTGCTACGATGGGAAGTGTTGGCCTGCAGGGAGGCTCAGAAATAAAGGAAGAGACATGAAATTTTAATGAATGGCACACGTTTTGTTTTTCTGAGCGATCCAAAGCAAAAATTCAAATTAAATTAGGATTTTGTCTTCAGATGTGGGAAATACTTAAAAAAAAAAAAAAATCTAACCTAACCGATTTGGCTCAGTGGGTAGTACATCGGCCTGTGGACTGAAGGGTCCCGGGTTCGATTCCGGTCAAGGGCATGTACCTTGGTTGTGGGCACATCCCCAGTGGGGGGTGTGCAGGAGGCAGCTGATCGATGTTTCTCTCTCATCAATGTTTCTAGCTCTCTATCCCTCTCTCTTCCTCTCTAAAAAAAAAAAAAAATCAATAAAAATATATATATTTTTTAAACCGAACATTTGGTGAAAAAATAGGCTGAGTCAAAAACTGTGGAACAGGAGAGCTGGATGTGCCATAAGCTAGAACATTCTGATGGTTTTCTTCACTTAACTTAAGCAAGATTCCTCCGCTTGCTTCTCAGAGGAATTGTTTCCTTCAGACCCTGAGGGTAAATCAGTGGCTGCTTACGAGGCTGACTTCCTGCTGGTGGACGTGCCTGACACTCAAGTTCATGGTCACGTGTAAGTTCTCAAGTTCATGGTCATGTGTAAATTCTCAAGTTCACGGTCATGTGTAAGCTCTTAAGATGAAAGATGCTGCTGGGCTCCTACCCACTGTGCCTCTCCCCAGGAATTCATCATTAGCCTTTCCGTTCCCATCGCTTAGATGTCACGTCAGCGCTTGTGATGTCTTTCAAACATGGCTCAGGTTCAAGAGCTTCCACCCGCACACTCAGCCAAATCAAGGAGAGAGCCGGCTACAGGGCTGCGCCTCTGAGGGGGGTAGCTAATGATTAAGAGGGAACCCCAGACAGGGAACTCCCACGCACTGATGAAAGAAAAATCCACCGCTAGGTCTCTAATGTTCTGAAGAATAATGAACAACAGCCGAGACTGGTTTGGCTCAGTGGATAGAGCATTAGCCTGCAGATTGAAAGGTCCCAGGTTTGATTCCGGTCAAGGACAAGTACCTTGGTTGCAGGCACATCCCTAGTGGAGGGTGTGCAGGAGGCAGCTGATTGATATTTCTCTCTCATCGATGTTTCTAACTCTCTATTCCTCTCCCTTCTTCTCTAAAAAAAATCAATAAAATATCGATGTTTAAAAATAATAATAATTATTATTACAAATAATAATGAACAACATAAACTGATGAATAAAAATAGAACCAGAGTCATAGAGGCATTGAACAGACTGCCCAACCTATGAGGGAAGGCAGGAGGGAGGAAGGGGAGGGGAATAAGGGATAAGAGATCAACCAAAGGACTTGTGTGCATGCAGATGGGAGAGGAAGGAAGGGGAAAGAGCACGTGATGGGGGGTGGGGGTGGTTGGGGAGAGATCAATGGGGTGGGGGAAGGAGACTTTATGTAATACTTTAAACAATAAAGAATTTAATTTTTTTTTAAAAAAAAGGATTATGAGAGGTGATTTTAGTTTTGTTTCATAGGAGTGGTCCAAAGTCTGACCTTCGGTCACCACCTCCATTAGTGTTTATCTGCTGTTCAGCCAGCCTGCTTAGCCTACGAATTAATCCCATGTCCGACCCTCACTGAAAATGTTTATAGAGAGGATTATGACGTGAAGGTAAGGCTGAGGCACTTTAGGGGGACGCAAGCATAATCATGCCAGTGGTGAGGGCTTATCTGTCTCGGATGCACACACGAAAAACCAACACAAATGCTATCTGCATAGCGTGTCATGCTTTCCAAGTTCTATTTTAAAAAATATATATTTTATTGATTTTTTTTACGGAGAGGAAGGGAGAGGGATAAAGAGTTAGAAACAGCGACGAGAGAGAATCATCTATCAGCTGCCTCCTGCAAACCCCCTGCTGGGGATGTGCCCGCAACCAAGGTACGTGCCCTTGATCGGAATCGAACCTGAGACCTTTCAGTCCGCAGGCCGACGCTCTATCCACTGAGCCAAACCATTTAGGGCTGGTTTCCCAAGTTCTAAATTGGTTCCTGCTGCCGTGGAACCTGACCTTTTTCTCGGCGCGACATTCTCTGGTTTCCTCATTTCAAAGATTGACTTTTAAATTTTAATTTCCTAGAATTTCCCCCCCAAGATCGATGAGTACGTTTCAGAAAGGAGAGGAGCGGCATGTCCCCTTGTCCCGTGCCTTTGCCTCTGATCTTTCCACCCCACGGACCAGCAGGCGGCAAAGAAAGGGAAATTCAACATGGCTTAGTTCTGACTCGCCCTCTACAGATGGAAGGGATGTGCGAAATCGCCACCTTCTGCTGATCGTTCCTGACAAGAGCATGGACCTCGGTTGCGGGCACATCCCCAGTAGGAGGTGCGCAGGAGGCAACTGATCCATATTTCTCTCTCATCGATGTTTCTCTCGATCCCTCTCTCTTCCTCTCTGTAAAAAAATCAATAAGATATATTTTAAAAAAAGAAAGAATGGTTCACAGACTGCTAAGCAAAATTTACATCCTGCTTTCAGAAGCATTCTTTATGTCACGAATGACCTTGTGACACAG